AAACATATAAATAACTAGACGTCCAATAAGATTAATTCAATGCATACAAATACCAAAAATTAGATATTAATATTACAGCAACACTACATAAAGTATATTCATGTGTTTCAAATTAAAATGGGTTAATGGGTTTTAAAAATGATTTGGGCTTTAAAAAATAAAAAAAATTATTTAGTTTCGATTCTTATTCAGTTCTTGGTCTAGACCCGAGACCCGACCCAAATCCATCGGTTCTCGATTCGGGTATCCGTTCGAGTATTTAATTTATGAAGAATCGCTCGATTCGGTTCGGGTTTCGGTTCTGTCCAGTTCGATTAGGGACTTTTGGACACCCCTAGTAACTATAGCATAATTCGATTGAAAATGTGTCAGGCCTGTCTGGGAGCAATTATCAACAAATTTTCAGCAATTTTCAGACCGTTCCACGCCATGGCCAGCCGAATTCTTTGACTTTTTATCTCATGATGGGACCCACGAACTGGATAAAAAGGCTAGAAAATCAATTCTCTGGATGAAAATAGCTATCTCATACATGTTCTCAATAAAATAGAATTCATGACTCTATAACTATATGTGAATATCCTTTAACATTTTTGGGAACTTTGATAAATCAGCACGCTTAGTGATGTATGATATAGTAAATTTATGACTTGATGACAATTAAACTATTCAATTAAAGAAATCTGACGAGCAAGAAGATAATTGGGACAACAAATTTAGTGTTCATCCATCTCCAATTACGAATATTCCAATGGAGATAGGCTATTTTGGATTGTCGATATTAGCACCTAACCATTCTTAGCAACAATTTGTGTACTAGCTTCTCTATATATTGGAGGATTTGCTTAATCTAATCTTTGTATTGGTAACTTATATTGCTGGCACTACATTGATAATTAAGCTCATAATAAAAGTACAATTTTACGCTCTAGTTAAAACTACTCACGACTTAAATCGAATTGAGAATTGACTTTTCTCCAAGGAGGTGAGATGATGTGTCACACACGTCAACTCTATCCTGAGCTGGATTTTTCTCCGGTGAGAGCTTACGCTACTTCACATGTAAGTGTAACAAAAATCATTTGTTCTGTATTGAAGCAAACGCATATCATTTGGAAAAATTAATCTCCATTCATCCTTAAATAATTTATATTTACATGAACAATCACAAAGAAAACCTTTTACTGCACTTTTGTAAGACAAGGCTTGAAAATCTGATCCATTGGTCTTGCTTTTCCCGTTGCATATCTATTTCGATGCTACGAAACTTATTGCTTCCATGATATTCTAAGGATGAACAAAATAAAACCATTAGATTTCTGTCATCAACACAGAAGAAAAAGTAGCACTAAATTTGCATATAGAATCTATTACATGGTAAAAAACACTTTTCAATGTGTCTACAGGTTGAAGTTTCACTGTTCTAACAGCATCCATTTTACTCTGTTGGAGAGCTTTTCGTGGCGATTGAATTTCAAAAATGTGAAGCGAATCGAAATTTGGAGATGATTGTATCTTATGATGAAGTTGGGATTTGCTTATCAATCAAATCAAATAGCTCATCTCCAATTCCAAATCCAAGCATTCTGGCCATGTCTTTTGTCTTCAATCTTGGCATTGGAATGTCATTTTCCTTCAACCAAGAGTATACAACAAATACTTTCTGCATAATGAACAATTCTAGTGCCTCCGGGTTGAATACGACTCCCATTCTGAGACTCATCTGCCAACCATAAAAACCCAATTTAAAAACTTGTATCATATACATTAATCATCACCTCATCTAAAAGTTTGAGCACAGCTCGTGACTAGCCCTGGCACAAAGAGTGATTGTTAGCATGTCCAACATCACTTGGGTTCAATTGAGATGTGCAATGTACAAGGTGGAGAGAAACCTCACATAGTGTTGAGTTAGGCACAGGAACTTTATCAGATCTTCGTAAAAAAATAATTACATTATCTAAAAGTTTAGATTTTTCACACGCAATGCAGGTCGATATGATACCTGATGAGGCAGCAGCATTGCTGCATACCGTGCGAGCTCTCCTGCACGCCAGTCCAATACAACAGGGAGCCACGGATACACAGCATCCAATCGAACAAACCACAGCCTAATATCAGGGAATTCGGATAGCTCGCGAGGGTCATATTCATCTTCTCTAGTGTAGTTGATCGTAAAGCCAATAGTACGTTCCAAGAACTCCTTTGGATTTGCATTTGCTGCAATGAAATCTGCCAATGTAAGTGTATTTTATCATTCAAATATTCCACATTAGTCCTGTCCTCTTTTCCTTACCAGATAGAGGTGAGGTTATTCCAGTTGCACTTTCAAATGGGGCTAAGTCGAGACCACGAATAATATTAGTATCGATTACTACTTCATACCGGCCCTCTTTCGGGGGCATTGGTGGTGGTGCTTTCTGTGTGTCTGTCAAGATATAAATTTTCAGATGAGAAACGTCTATAATACTTCTTAAATCATTACACTATAACTAATAATAAAGCGAAGAAAGAAAGAAAACTTGGCAAAAACCTCCTCGTCCAAATCAAGAAAATCATAAATCGAAACGAACAACAAAAAACTAAGTCTTGTTCCCAATAATTGGGGTCGGTTATTTAAATTTTTGTGCTACATAAGCCGTCATTCCATTAGTTTGCCCTCAATTCCTACCATCCCTCTTATTTCATCCTTAAAACGAACCACATATAATGAAAAGACATAAGGAACGTTACCGTTTTCATCATCATACAGGGAGAGATCGTAGTTCCCAGAAGGATTGAATGCGACTCCAGCAGCAACTTGTCTTTGTTGGTGTTGATTCGTATGTAACTGTATGGAAGAAACAGGAGAGTCTGAGGTCGATTTGCTGTAAATCCATGGAGTTGAAGAGTGAATATTAATGCACTGTTTGAGTGGAGAAGAAAGTGGATAAAGAGGTCTTATGGTAGCCATTGGATGGAGAAGAAGAGGCCCTTTGTGTGTGTGACAGTTAATACAGTTTTGTCTGTCCATTCATTGAGTCTATCTCTTCTTCATTGTGGCCTTGAGTTTGAAACGCTATTGGCAAGCCCAATAGCCCAATAAGTAATAGGGTATATACAAAGGAAAGATACAAAAGTCAGGTGTTAATTTTGATACAATTCAATTTTTAGTTGTCAAATTTTAAAATACAAAAATCAGGTATTTATTTATTAATTAAAAATATTTTTATTAATTAATTATTAAATAAATTTATTAAATATTTAATTCTAATATAATATAATCATGAGTGGGGTGTAGGTGGTGAGGATTCGTTTCGGGGACTATTTCGGCGACCGTTCCGGTGATTGCTTTGATTTCGACAATTATTCCAGAGACTATTCCATTGACAGTTCCGCCGCAGCTTTATTCAGACGAATGCTCTGATTTCGGAAATTTATACAATATGGTCATAGATTCACAATTTAATTATTTTGCACTTACAAATAATAATTTTTATACGTCACATATTATTTTACGGTTACAATTCAAAAAATTTGTAGGCCACAATTAATTCGTTGGTCATATATTAAAATTTATAAGTACACAGTCACAAATTTCCAAATTGGTTGGTCACAGATTTTTCCACGGTCACAGATTATATAATTTTTAGGTCACAGATAATAAAATGATTGGTCACGAATTATATTTTTAGTCAGATTATCGAATTTTAAGGTCACGTGTTATATATTTAATCACAAAACCAAAATCACCAGATCCTCCACCTACACCACCGTCGAAAACCACTAACACAGACACCATCACACAAAACACCTCAAATCCCACAATTAACTCCACCACAGACCACCCATAAGCCACCATCCACAACGGAAGAGACTGAAACGCAGCCACAGACCACCAATCACCACCACCAACAACACCACCGCAACACCGCCAAAACAACACCCCACACCACCTTACAGTACCCACTACACACCGCACACACCACGGTCACCACCACAAAAGAAACAGGTTCCCATAGAGCCCCTACCTAACTGTAGCAGTAGCGAGGGCGATGCAGCTGCCGACGCTCGCATCACCGGCTGTGAGGGTAAAGCACAGCAACAACAATGCCGCTACCATGTCGTTGCGATGCTCTCACATCCAAGGACCTCGTAGAGACGTTTGGAGTTGTCTCTGACTGCGAGTGCTCTTATCAAACTCTAGCAGCTGTGAGGGCGATGCCGTTGTCGGCGCTCACATCGCCAGCTACGAGGGCGGGCACAGCATCGACGACGTCACTGCTTGATCCTCCGGCAGAGGGAGCTCTTCAATGGTGACGACGATCTAAGGATAGATGAAAATGGAGAGGGTAGAGAGAGACGATGAGAGAAGAAGAGGTAGAAGAAAAATGATTTAGGGTTTGGGATTAGGTAGGGTGAGTATAATATTTATTTTTTAATTCAATACCTGAATTTTGATTAAAAAATCTTCTCAC